TTAGTGAGGAGTATGAAGAAACTGAGGTTGATAACAATTAGGCTATACAAATTTAATTACTTGGTTTTCATAACATGAAATTTTAAAAATAGACCCAGCCGGCTGGCTTTTTTTTTTAAATTTCATATATAAAATTTTATAAAATTTATATAAAAAAAATTTTTAAAACCCACCCGGCTATTAAAACATATAAAAAATTTTTTTTAAAAGTTTCAAATTTTGACCCAGCCGGGTTATGAAAACCAATTAATTAATTTTGCATGGCCTTAGGAATAATGATCAAATTTTTTTTTTTTTTTTTTGAATAATAATACTTGTTGCTAAGTTTTTTTATTCAGTACAATATCTGCGCTTTACAAAAATGAAATTGTGTACTGAATTGGAGTTGTATTGAATATTATAAATAAACTTGAATAGTATCAGGATAGAGAAAGACTTTGTACATGTGATAATCGACGAATAATGTAAAGAATTTGTCCATTTTTAATACCGGGTTGGCAAAAAGTTTATATAACAAACTGACTTTTATGCTCTAATAAATTTTTTCTTGTAAAATTTTGCTATAATGTCTTTATAATGATTTTAATGCATGTTATAAATTTAATGATTATTGTGGTTTACATAATTTTGTAACCCTTATTATTATTATCAAATGATTTTGATTGCAATTGTGATTGCTAAAGCCAGCCAATTTAACATGAATCTGAATTTGTATCAAGCTCAGATTTATGATAAATTGACTAGCTTTAGCAATCATGATCGCAATCACAAATCCCTATGTATATGATCTTTTGTATTCAATGCATCATTAAATTAGTGGTTCTTATTTTTATCGTATTTATTTTGCCAGTAAATCAATTGTAATTTAATTTAAAACTGGTTTTCTACAACTTTGTATATGTTATATTTAGTGTTTAGCGATACGTTAATAGAAAATATAGTTAATACCCGGGTATAAGTCACAAACCGGTGCTTTAAACTGGCAAGGGGTATACCACATGCATGTCTGGATTTTACGGTAAGCCTTTACTTACTGAACCTTTGCTTTCAAATTATTTTTTATTAAACCTTTGCTTAAATTACTTATTAAATCTCTATTTTTTTATATAAATTATTAAACCTTTGCTCAAATTATTTTTTATTAACTTACTAAGCCTTTACTTACTAAACCTTTGCTTAAATTAATTATTATATTTTTGTTCAAATTATTTTTTATTAAACCTTTGCTTAAATTACTTATTAGTTCTCTATTTTTTTATATAAATTATTAATCCTTTGCTCAAATTATTTTTTTATATAACTTACTAAGCCTTTAATCACTAAACCTTTGCTCAAATTAATTATTAAACCTTTGCTCAAATTATTTTTTATTGAACTATCACTTAAATTACTTATTAAACCTCTATTTTTTATATAAATTATTAAACCTTTAATCAAATTATTTTTTATTAACTTACTAAGTCTTTACTTACTAAATCTTTGCTTAAATTAATTATTATATCTTTGTTTAAATTATTTTTTTTTGAGCCTTTACTTAAATTACTTATTAAATTTGTAAGTTTTTTTTATCATGGTGAAGTGTAGCGCTAATTAAACATAGCGAAGGCTCTTAATAATGTTACACAGTCCTCTCCAAAATACTAGATAGATAACCGTGTGCTTGCACGTGGGTGTCCATCGCGGTCATTTTGGTAACTTAGAAAAAGCCAGAACAGGTCTTCGGATAAACCACATCCGGATAAACCATCCAGATCTACAACCCCAAGATCCAACCCCTATAATGGTGACTTTTTTTGAGATATCACACGCCTATCCCGGCTTGATCTGATAGTTAAAAATCATGAAAAAATAGTTTATCCGTCCAGATAAACTCAGATTTAATTAGATGGTGACTTTTTGAAAGGATGTGATAAAAAAATCATAGTAGATATAATATAAATTAATTAGAAGGCGATTTTTTAAACAATTAGATAGCGATTTTTGACATATTACATCACAGTTTGATCTGATAGTAAAAAATTATTGTCTTATAATAGAACTTAATTTGAAATATTTCTTTTAGCTATATATTTTTTTCTTTTTAGGTCCGTCAAGATATCGAATTTTTTTGTTTGACTCTTGTGTAAACTGTCATTTCGAAGAATGCCCAATATATAGTAATCCTTTATAGAAAAACCTACTATGCCACTCTCAAGACATGTAATAACAAACCTTTTAGCGTGAAGGTTTAGCTACTTGAATCTCAATTTTTAGGTAAAAGGACATGAATTCGCAGAGATATCACGTTTTTTGTAAACGTAAACGGTCACGTTTTCGTAAGTTTACCTCTAACTTTAATTGCTTCCGAAGGCACTTTTACCAAATAAAACCTCCATACATGCAATAATGGCATTTGCAGGTATGGTCTTCAACCCTTTCTGATAAACAATATTCTGGAGAACGTTCATGATTAAGTTTTTTTGCGCACAAAATTGTGAAGTTGCCTACAAAAGTTGCTTACAGAAAAATATAAATTTAACAACGAGTGATTTCGAAATATAAACTTGATTAATTATTGTAAATGTTGCGAATTTGTCAATTTCACATCCGGGAAAAAAGTGAATTGAATTTTTTATTTTTATTTGTTAAATTTAAACTCAATAATTGATTTATCATTGAAATACAGTTTATACTTAAAAATATCACAATTTAAAAATACAAAATTTGAAATAAAAAACATATCTTTCTAAATATTATGTAGAATTATCATTTATTATTTCAATTTCATGCTCTGAATCGTTTACAAATTTTTGTTTTTTTCTCGCAGCGGCTGTAATGCTAGACTCAGCCATTGATTGTTGACGACTATAGTCGGAATCGTCATCAAAATACGTTTCGGATTCGGATATATGTTCTTGAGATCTTTTTCTAGCTACAATTGAAGATAAAACTAATTGCAATTGTTGCAAAAGCTCTTGTTTATAACAGGAAAGCTTATAATATCAAGGATAATCACGAAAATAATTCTTTTTGAATTCGGAAAAGTGGTGATACCAATATATCTGATCTAACTTAATAATTATTTTACCATCCTGATCTTTATTAAGCTCTTGAATAATGGTTCTCAACTCTTCACATGTATACTCACCCTTATCATATTTAATATTCCAAAGCATGTTGTGAAAATCTTCCTCTAAGCCCTTATGAAATATGAGCTCGGTGGTGCACTGATCTAGCTCATCATGCCACATGCCTCTAAACTCGATAATATAATCCAAGCATTAGTAAAATTGTCCCCAATCATATTGAGTTGATGTCTCATAGTCAGATTAACTCGATGAAAATTAAAAGCTTCTTCTGATGGTTTGTGAGAAGTTATAAAAACATACTTGGCAAGAAAAGGCACAAATGTCTTGCCTTTTTGCTCAACATTCTCTGGAGTATCGTTCAAATATTTAACAA